AACTTCCAGCCACCCTCGGTGCGTCCAATCCCGGACTCACCTCCCTGCAAGTACGTTTGTTATAGAACCTACTTGCTGACGGGGGGGGGGGGAGGTCGAGATCGATGTTTCAGCGGCGGCCGTTATGAAGCGATTTGAACAAATTTCAGACGAAGATTTAAATAAAAAAGAAATTGATTGTTTTTTCTTGCTTTATAACTACTTTTTTATTTTGTTTGATGAAAATGCAATATTCTGCATTCAAAATGGATCGGAAGAGAAGAAAGATGGCCGCCGAAATTTGTTCGGCACGGGCAGGTTTATATAAATCTTGGCAATGTTATCGCAAAATGTGTGCATTTTCTCTTTTCAAGAATAAGGAATATTGTAGAGAATTTTTCTAGCTTCAATTTAAGCCTTATTTTTTTTTGTTTGGTAGTATGTTGGGGGCTAAAATGTTCGATTTCCAAACAAAAAATTATATACTAAAATGCGTAAATTCTTTAGTTCTTTTTACCGAAATGGAATGTGATAAAAACCGGTCTGAGTCCGCGATTGACTAACCTGATTGACGCACCTCGGGTGGCTGGAAGTTTCGCGAACCCACCTCGCTTCGCTCAGCGTTCAGGAAACTTCCAGCCAGCCTTGGTGCGTCCAATCCCGCACTCACCTCCCTGCAAGCATGTTTGTTATTGTTCTTTCGATATCAGTATGGTTTTGAATTCTTGAAGATATATGTTTGTGATATACTCAGTTCAAGATATATATATTTGTGATGCTGAGTGCACAAGCTGAGTGCTTAAAACGAGAAACAAGAATTCCGATTATAAAAACATACCAATATCCAAGAAACTAGACTGAGTTCCGAAACCTCATCATCCTCGTTCCCAGGGCTGCTCGGCCGGCAGGCCGAGAAGCCCTGGAAACGAGGATGAAACATCACGCACCAACCTCGTTCCCAGGTTCTGATCATGCACTCGAACCAATCTCGTTCCCCGAGCCTGCGATCCTCGGAGGAAGGAGGCTCAGGGAACGAGATTGGCACTCGAACCGACTTGACCTCGTAGCTAAGTTGACTATAGCTAACCAAATGCCGAAGGTTCGATTCCCAGCGCGGTCAAGCAAACTTTTCAGCTTGTCCAGTGTGGACACATTCAGAGCATGTCGTGTATTCTATCTGCTTCTATAACTATCTTTCCTTTTCCTTATAAACATAGCGTTTAGAAAACCTGATACACATACATTATAGGATATCCAATCTTCAGTGCATAATTGAACTATATTTTCTCTATAGTTGCCGTAAAGAACACTCTGGTACTTTGAATAAATTTCCGCTTTTGCATAAAATTCCCCGGCTCTACAAAGCGAAGGCCGAGCAGCCAGAAAGAGAAATTTCCAGACATTTACAAAACATTACAAATTTATCCACACTTGCTTGTCACGCATGTACATGTACATGTGCAGAGCAAGATATCTGGGTGTTTTAAAGAAGTTATATAAGCATGAACTGCTATTTTAGTCGATGGTATCCTCATCGATCAAAATATTTCTAGATCATACTAAATGACTGTCGCCCACAAAAAGCAGAAATATTACAAGCAATAAAGCTTGACCTCCTGCTATTAAACCATTTATACGCACAATAAAATATACCAACCAGCCGTGTAATGAGTTGCAAATATTTACTTGAAAGAAAATTCTTGCTCCCAAAACATACCGACATTGTGACAGAGTATAGCTTTGAAAACGATTATCTTGGATATCTTTCAAGTAACAGGTTAGTTAACTTGTCACATATTACTTTAATTACTACAATGTTCTTTTTGTGAATGAGATATTGTATATTATATAGTCAGTATTTCATTCGCGTTAATGACAAGTGCAAATGAAATATATACACGCGAGCTCGCATTTGAGCTATAAGGCTGCGAACTAACTCTGCTTGCTGGGGTGCTTCATGTTTTGATGTGGTTTTACCTTAGTTAATGTAATTAATATTGTGGATTGACTGTGGTTAAGCAAAAAAGTCCTCTAAAATTGATCCGAATGTTTAGCCAAACACTGAAGACTAAGGCAGCGTTTTCAATAAATCGTTTCAAATAGTGGTTATAGTTTACTATACAAACGTACGAGACTATACTTTACCTAAACCGGCATCCCTAAAAATAGCACGAAGTCCTTTACCTCAGTAAAGTGATTCATTGTTTGGTACTATGAGATAATAATGGAAGTATTGGTATACGGAGATGCCAATATCTCATCTTCTGTTGAATTGCTTTACGTATATATACAATTACCATTTGCCAAGGATATACAAATGAGATTACTTAGTTATGAGGCCCACAAACAGGCAACAGCCTTATTATATTAGCAAACTGAAC